GTTAAATCCAAACGACAGATACGCATCGAAAGGTTTGGATAATTTTATTGATGAAGAAAAAAATATAGATTTAGCATTAGAAATGCTTAAAGGCACTTTTAACATTAATGGATTTTTGTATGATGGTAATATATGTGATAAGCTATTATTTTCATTTGCTTTTCGTGGTAAAGTCATGGAAGCGTTAAATATTTTTGAGATTATGGAAAAAAATAAGATCGTTTCACCACTTACATATGGATATTTGGTTCGTTTGTATGGTACAATTGGTGATATACAAAGTGCATTGGAATGTTATCAAGAATATCTGAAACAGTTACCATCATATCACACCGAAATTAGAAACCCGTTAGCCATCTACAATCAACTGATATATGCCCACATAAACTGTGGTGATTTAAAAGGTGCAACAAATGTTATGGATGAACTTATCCCTCAGAATAACCTCGAGCCAAATGACTTGACTTATTATTATCTTATAAAGTATTTATGTGAAAGAGGTGAAATTAAATTGGCCAATGAATATCTCAATAAATACAATAATCATCTATTACAATCATTGTCATCACCATCATCATCATCATCATCACCATCTTCATCTTCATCATTGTCATCATTGTCACTATCACAACAACATAGATGCTCTCTGATTTATTCTACTTTTTTATTGCACTATTCAACCTCTGGAGATTATGATAAAGCTACTGATATTTTCAATATCATGATGGATAAAAAAATGAAAATCCACCATATGACACTCAGTGTTTACATCTATGCCACATTTAAATATCGAATAGATAATTTAAATGGCCTTTTAGATGAATTATTAAATTCAGGTCAAGTTTTTGATAATTATCTTACAAAAGTTTTTATTAGTCATTATTCAGAGGTTGAAAGCATCTCAAAATCATTAGATATTGTGGCAAGGATTTTGTTAAATCTTGAAAAATCTTTGAGTAGTATAGAAAGATTTTATCAATTTCAAGATTTATTAGATGATTTAATAATCCATAGTAGTGTTTCGTTAAGCGAAGCAATAGATTTCAAATTAAAATTTTATTATCGCTCTTTTGATATATCACGTGTTATTAATGATATTTTGATTAGGAAATATAATGGATTAAAAAACGAATCAAAACACTTTTCTCAATTAGAATCACTTTCCAACGAACAAATATCTGGTTTATTTGATAGTTTTGGTTTTAAAAAATCTGTAAACAACACACATGATGAATATGTTAATGGATTACTGTCATTGATGGATGATTTTATTGCAACTGGTGTTATAGTCCCATACCATACAATTAAAAGATATGCTGATGCTCTGAAAGAAATTGGTGATGAGAAAGCTATCAAAAAATGGAATGAATTATATCTCACAATGACAAAAATATGTGATGAAAAGAAGGAAGTTAATAGTGGAGATGATGGTGGTGTTGGTATCAATGTCAATGACAATGTTGATGACAATGTTGTTGTTTTTGAAGCAGATAAAAATAAAGTCGAGAATTTAGATCAAATGAAGGGTCGTAATCCAACAATGGATGAAATAAATAAATCATCAGAATTGGCAAGTATTTGTAGAGGTAATGATATTAAACCTGGTTTAATATTGGCAGGAATCAAGCAAATGCTTAATGACAACCTATTACCTACACCTGAACTTGTCAGTCAAGCAATCAGAAATCTCGGAAAACAAAATAGATTAGAGGAAGCTCAAGAAATATATAAACTTTTCTTGGGCTTTTATACTAATTGGAACAAGCAAGTCAGGGAAAAAGCATTACACTATGTGTATAATAGTATGTTGATTGCTTATGCCAGTAACAACATGGCGGACGAAGCTTATAAGGTGCATGATGAAATCATCAAAAAAGGTTGGCACCCTGATGCAGGTGCATATGCTGATCTTCTGGTGGCTGAAAAAGAGGATGATCCATATGACATCTCAAAAGTTTTACAGATTTATTCAGAAATAAAAAATTTTAAGGTCAGGCCATCAATATATCTTTGTAATGTTTTGATAAGTAAATTTGGAAAAGCACTTAGGATTGACTTGGTTCAGCAAGTCTATGACGATATGAAAAATAACCAGTTTTTACCCAATGTTGTCACATATGGAGCTTTGATTTCAGCCTACACTAAAGCAAAACATGAAAAAAAGGCACTTGAATTGTTTCAACAGCTGGAAAATTCAAATATTCAAACACGTATTACACAATATAATGCCATGATGCAATACTATACCACAGATGTCCCTAATAGAAAAAAAGCGCTTGTTTTCTATCACAAAAGCCAACAAAGAAATCTAGAACCCAATTCGCACACATACAAAATATTAATAGATTTATATGCTACAATTGAGCCATATGATATGAAGTCAGCATTGGATATCTTGGAAGATATGAAAAAGAAAGGCATAACGCCTCAAGCAACGCATTATGCATCATTAATCTATGCATATGGATGTTGTCAAAAAGATTTAAACAGTGCCTTGGATGTGTTCCATTCTTTAAAATCTTCATATAATATTATCCCTAACGGTGAAGTCTTCAAAGCATTATTAGAAGCTTTAGTGAACAATGAGAAAATTGAGGAAGCTGAAAAATATTATGATGAGATATCCAAAGAAAATATTAAATCCACGAGTATTGATAATCTATTTATTAAAAGTTATGGGGAGTTGGGGCAATTGGAAAAGGCAGAAAAAATATTCAACAGCATGGGTGATTTTTCAAAAGATCCAAGTACTTATGGGGAAATGATTAAAGTTTACGCTTCAAATGGGAAAATTGAAAAGGCAAAAGAGATCGCAAACATTATAGAAAATAAGAATTATTCAGAAATCATAAAAAGTAACATAAATGATCTATTATCTTCTTCTTCGCTGTCATCGTCACCTAGCTAGTTAATCTATTCATATTCCCTTAATTACAATAACAAATAATACACTATATAGAAACAAAAAATTTATTTATAACGTATATTTTCTTTATTAATTAAAAAATGTTCATTTGTACAGAAACTAATTCTTGGCATGGCCATTATCATTGAGATAAAGATTCGTCACCCAGTATGATTAAAGTGATCGTATAGTTTATATAAAATATCCTACAAAATGTCTTACAATAATATTTCATCCTATTTCATCACTAGAAAACATTTCATTAGTAAAATTGGAAATAATCTTTATATCAGTTTTAAACCTTGGAATTTGTTAAAATGACGATAGAAAATTTGGAACTTTGATTGATGGTAAACTAAGTGACAAGGTATTTTTGTAAATAATTCGATCGTTAAATCAAATTTATTCGAATATAGGATTGTTCCAACTGTGTGGATATGTGTTTTGTTTATTTTAAATTCTTGATCAATCTAAGAATAAATGATTCTTTGAATTTAATAAATCAAGCTTGCAATTCGTTGTTGAATAAAGTAATAATTGAAATACGTTGGTTTTTACTACGTGAAAGAATATAAAAAAGAATATATAACAAATTTCTTTGAAGCTGTAAAAGTACATTATAAAGAACCAGAAGACGACACTCATATTAATTATTGGATGAGACAATGACAGCACTACGAGGAATTCAAAATCTAATATCATGTTTAAAAATAAAAATTTTAATTTTCCAACTATTTTTTTTTGTCGTGTTATAATATGATCATGCAATTTTTTTCTAAACATGGTACCATTATTGCTACCACCACCACCACCACCCACATAACCAAGAGAAGTTGACCTTGTACTCGAAGTGAATTAACTTCGAATTTATTTATTTGATTCACGATCTAAAAAATTAATCAAGGTTATTATTTTAAAAAAAAGCCTGGGGATAATTTACAATTTGGATCATGATTCTCTTTAGAATCTCCAAGATACTCTTAATATTATTTCCATTTATCAGTTGTTTTGTAGACAGTCATACAAATATTCTTCTTTGCCTTGGCTACCAGCCTCATTCTCTATCATTTTTTCCTCTTTCACTGGAATAATAAATCACCAACTATTTTAGCCATATCAGCGAAAGAGATATTTTTACCTCACGAACTTTATGAGAAACATCACGTAATAGTTTTACCGGAGCATTCTTGTCACTTTTTGGATGTCGTTTATATTATCTTTTACCATTATTATTATTATTATTTACAACTTTGTTATTATTGGGATTCTTGAGAGATTAGTTTTGTTGGGTGATGCAATGATCATTAAAATTTAGCAGTAGCAATGTTTTTAACAGATTGATAATTGTAGAAGCTGTTGGAGGTGTAGATAATGCTGGGGTGATGTGTCGTCTAGATTATTATTGTAAAAATTTTATTGACCATAATTAAGCGGTGGAAGAAGATTCATCACCATAGTAATAATTAATATATTAATCAATAACATACATATATACAACATTATTATTACAATAATAGCCACAAATATCATTATAAACGCAATTATTATTGTAACCAAAATCATAACTTCCACCTCCATTTTCATCATCAATTAATGCTCGTATAGAAGAGTTAGGTGCAGTGGTGGTAGTAACAATTACGCTTTTACTAAGATTTGTCATTAGCGTTGTTGTTGTTGTTGATAGGTTGAAGTGGTTGATGATGATGTATCAATTGGTCCTAATCCTGGTCCGGATTGAGTGTATAATGGATGGTTTTCCGGTATTCCTTTTATCGTGGTTGTATACGCGCTATTATCAAATGATTTAATTAATTTGATTCCAATTCTGAAAATTTATATTTGCTATTAAATCCATTTCTGTTATATCAAACAACTAAATTCAAATTATCGGTGAATAAAAATGGTATTACTATTATAATATAACAAATATAATTAAATAATATACTAAACAAAGACTTATAGGTCGTATCTGATCAGTCTTTCGATATAAATCTATCATAATATTCTAAAAGATCACGAATTCACGAATTTGTGCATTTGACATTTTTTTTTATTTTATTTATAAATTAAATTTAAAAATGTTAAAATTAAAATAATGATAAGAGTGTGTAATAGTAAGTAATTTACATAAGTACAGTCAGCGCTCGATATAAGAAAGAATTGATTTTTAGCAACTATTCACCGACCAGCATCTTATATCTGCAAAAATTCTCGTTCCAGAAATGTATCGCTTGCTCTAAATCTAGGTTGTCTCTGTGTGCTTGAAGAAATGCTTAAACCTATATCGACGCAGATCTTTTTAATTGTGCAAAATAATTTTAATTGGATGGACGGGGGAATTCAACATTTTCTTTTTGAAGCTTCTAATCCTGGCGTTGTAAAAAGTTCGAGAGTCCGTTAATGGGCCTTTTTATGAGTTCAATTATTGAGGATAATAAAAAAACCAAATATTCCATAATTAGCAAAAGGTATTAAAATTTTATTTTTAAATATTGGCTCTCCACTCTTATGGTGGCCAAGACAATGTGTTATACATTTGTGGCATTAGCAAACTTTATAGTAATAATTATAATAGTATATACCACCGAAATTATTTTGTGACGAGTGGTGATTGCATAAAAAATTATCTCCAATAAATTAGAAATTCCAAAGGGTTGAAAAAGGAAAATTATATAAAATATGGAGGTTTGTATTTTTTGATGATGATGATAATGGCAGCGATAATAGTCTATTTAATAATAATATTTGGAAAAATAAAATTTAACAGGCAAAGAAAGAAAATTATATTTACAAATTTGGTATTTGTAATAATGATGGGCAACAACGAAAACAACAGCAACAAGAAGTAGAAAAAGAAAATGACGAGGTAACAACTATAGCTAAAGAAGAACAAGAAACAGCTATAGCAAATATTAATAATGATATTATTATTAAAGATAATTATAATGATAATGATGATAATGATGATGATTTAAATATTGATAATATTAATAAAATTAATATTAAGCTTAACTATCATGACAGTAATATTATGGATTACAACAATAATAATAATTTACCAAATTTTTATTACCATTCAAATCATCAACAATCTTATTCATCATTTTTACCACCACCACCACCATCACCACCACCAACAACAACAACAACAACAACAACAACAACAACAACAACAGCAGCAGCAACAACAACAACAGCAACAAAAACTTTCTACAATCAAAGGTCACCTTCATCTTCACCTTCATCCACAACAACAACAACAGCAACAACAACAACAAGATCATCATCATCAAGAGAAAGGTCAGGATCAAGAACGACATCATCAACAGCAACAATCAATAATAATGATTCTAATACTAGTATTACAAAAATGCCAATTCATAAACCATATGCAAGTTATATACGTTCATGGAAGGCAAAATCACCAATTATTCAATTACACTTGGTTTTACTAGAAATTGATTCATTTCAAGAAACCAACAAACTAGATCATGTAAAGAAACCTTATAATAATAATAAATCTGTTGGATTACCAAAATTTCGATATAAATATTTAGAACATAAATTGACTTTGTACTTGGTGCATAATGGGCAAATTTTTATCCCTATTGAAGCTTTAGAAGGAATTGAAAAAATTAGTGATAGAGTTATTTGTCTATATTTAAATGATGAGGACAAATGTTTGGTAAATAATAATATAATTAATAGTAATAATATAAAGATAGATAATACATATATCACTATATATTATTATTACTAATTATCATTTATATCAATGTGTAGATTAATTATAATTGGAATTCAGTAACCTTTGCATCGCCTAGCATAACTGTTTATATATATGAAAATATTAAATCCACGAGTATTGATAATCTATTTATTAAAAGTTATGGGGAGTTGGGGCAATTGGAAAAGGCAGAAAAAATATTCAACAGCATGGGTGATTTTTCAAAAGATCCAAGTACTTATGGGGAAATGATTAAAGTTTACGCTTCAAATGGGAAAATTGAAAAGGCAAAAGAGATCGCAAACATTATAGAAAATAAGAATTATTCAGAAATCATAAAAAGTAACATAAATGATCTATTATCTTCTTCTTCGCTGTCATCGTCACCTAGCTAGTTAATCTATTCATATTCCCTTAATTACAATAACAAATAATACACTATATAGAAACAAAAAATTTATTTATAACGTATATTTTCTTTATTAATTAAAAAATGTTCATTTGTACAGAAACTAATTCTTGGCATGGCCATTATCATTGAGATAAAGATTCGTCACCCAGTATGATTAAAGTGATCGTATAGTTTATATAAAATATCCTACAAAATGTCTTACAATAATATTTCATCCTATTTCATCACTAGAAAACATTTCATTAGTAAAATTGGAAATAATCTTTATATCAGTTTTAAACCTTGGAATTTGTTAAAATGACGATAGAAAATTTGGAACTTTGATTGATGGTAAACTAAGTGACAAGGTATTTTTGTAAATAATTCGATCGTTAAATCAAATTTATTCGAATATAGGATTGTTCCAACTGTGTGGATATGTGTTTTGTTTATTTTAAATTCTTGATCAATCTAAGAATAAATGATTCTTTGAATTTAATAAATCAAGCTTGCAATTCGTTGTTGAATAAAGTAATAATTGAAATACGTTGGTTTTTACTACGTGAAAGAATATAAAAAAGAATATATAACAAATTTCTTTGAAGCTGTAAAAGTACATTATAAAGAACCAGAAGACGACACTCATATTAATTATTGGATGAGACAATGACAGCACTACGAGGAATTCAAAATCTAATATCATGTTTAAAAATAAAAATTTTAATTTTCCAACTATTTTTTTTTGTCGTGTTATAATATGATCATGCAATTTTTTTCTAAACATGGTACCATTATTGCTACCACCACCACCACCACCCACATAACCAAGAGAAGTTGACCTTGTACTCGAAGTGAATTAACTTCGAATTTATTTATTTGATTCACGATCTAAAAAATTAATCAAGGTTATTATTTTAAAAAAAAGCCTGGGGATAATTTACAATTTGGATCATGATTCTCTTTAGAATCTCCAAGATACTCTTAATATTATTTCCATTTATCAGTTGTTTTGTAGACAGTCATACAAATATTCTTCTTTGCCTTGGCTACCAGCCTCATTCTCTATCATTTTTTCCTCTTTCACTGGAATAATAAATCACCAACTATTTTAGCCATATCAGCGAAAGAGATATTTTTACCTCACGAACTTTATGAGAAACATCACGTAATAGTTTTACCGGAGCATTCTTGTCACTTTTTGGATGTCGTTTATATTATCTTTTACCATTATTATTATTATTATTTACAACTTTGTTATTATTGGGATTCTTGAGAGATTAGTTTTGTTGGGTGATGCAATGATCATTAAAATTTAGCAGTAGCAATGTTTTTAACAGATTGATAATTGTAGAAGCTGTTGGAGGTGTAGATAATGCTGGGGTGATGTGTCGTCTAGATTATTATTGTAAAAATTTTATTGACCATAATTAAGCGGTGGAAGAAGATTCATCACCATAGTAATAATTAATATATTAATCAATAACATACATATATACAACATTATTATTACAATAATAGCCACAAATATCATTATAAACGCAATTATTATTGTAACCAAAATCATAACTTCCACCTCCATTTTCATCATCAATTAATGCTCGTATAGAAGAGTTAGGTGCAGTGGTGGTAGTAACAATTACGCTTTTACTAAGATTTGTCATTAGCGTTGTTGTTGTTGTTGATAGGTTGAAGTGGTTGATGATGATGTATCAATTGGTCCTAATCCTGGTCCGGATTGAGTGTATAATGGATGGTTTTCCGGTATTCCTTTTATCGTGGTTGTATACGCGCTATTATCAAATGATTTAATTAATTTGATTCCAATTCTGAAAATTTATATTTGCTATTAAATCCATTTCTGTTATATCAAACAACTAAATTCAAATTATCGGTGAATAAAAATGGTATTACTATTATAATATAACAAATATAATTAAATAATATACTAAACAAAGACTTATAGGTCGTATCTGATCAGTCTTTCGATATAAATCTATCATAATATTCTAAAAGATCACGAATTCACGAATTTGTGCATTTGACATTTTTTTTTATTTTATTTATAAATTAAATTTAAAAATGTTAAAATTAAAATAATGATAAGAGTGTGTAATAGTAAGTAATTTACATAAGTACAGTCAGCGCTCGATATAAGAAAGAATTGATTTTTAGCAACTATTCACCGACCAGCATCTTATATCTGCAAAAATTCTCGTTCCAGAAATGTATCGCTTGCTCTAAATCTAGGTTGTCTCTGTGTGCTTGAAGAAATGCTTAAACCTATATCGACGCAGATCTTTTTAATTGTGCAAAATAATTTTAATTGGATGGACGGGGGAATTCAACATTTTCTTTTTGAAGCTTCTAATCCTGGCGTTGTAAAAAGTTCGAGAGTCCGTTAATGGGCCTTTTTATGAGTTCAATTATTGAGGATAATAAAAAAACCAAATATTCCATAATTAGCAAAAGGTATTAAAATTTTATTTTTAAATATTGGCTCTCCACTCTTATGGTGGCCAAGACAATGTGTTATACATTTGTGGCATTAGCAAACTTTATAGTAATAATTATAATAGTATATACCACCGAAATTATTTTGTGACGAGTGGTGATTGCATAAAAAATTATCTCCAATAAATTAGAAATTCCAAAGGGTTGAAAAAGGAAAATTATATAAAATATGGAGGTTTGTATTTTTTGATGATGATGATAATGGCAGCGATAATAGTCTATTTAATAATAATATTTGGAAAAATAAAATTTAACAGGCAAAGAAAGAAAATTATATTTACAAATTTGGTATTTGTAATAATGATGGGCAACAACGAAAACAACAGCAACAAGAAGTAGAAAAAGAAAATGACGAGGTAACAACTATAGCTAAAGAAGAACAAGAAACAGCTATAGCAAATATTAATAATGATATTATTATTAAAGATAATTATAATGATAATGATGATAATGATGATGATTTAAATATTGATAATATTAATAAAATTAATATTAAGCTTAACTATCATGACAGTAATATTATGGATTATAACAACAACTACAATTTACCAAAATTTTATTATCATTCAAATCATCAACAGTCATATTCATCATTTTCATCATCATCATCACCACCACCACCACCACCACAAAAACAACAGCTACCACCACCAACAAAAGCTTTCTACAATCAAAGGTCATCTTCATCTTCATCCACAACAACAACAACAACAACAAGATCATCATCATCATCATCAACAACAACAATTAATAATAATGATTCTGATACTAGTATTACAAAAATGCCAATTCATAAACCATATGCAAGTTATATATGTTCATGGAAGGCAAAATCACCAGTTATTCAATTACACTTGGCTTTACTAGAAATTGATTCATTTCAAGAAACCAACAAACTAGACAAATCTTATAATAACAATAAATCTGTTGGATTACCAAAATTTCGATATAAATATTCAGAACAAAAATTGGCTTTGTACTTGGTACAGGGTGGGCAAGTTTTTATCCCTCTTAGAGTTTTAGGAGGAATTGAAAAAATCAGTGATAGAGTTATTTGTCTATATTTAAATGATGAGGATAAATGTTTGGTAAATAATAATATAATTAATAGTAATAATAATATAAATAAATATATATATATATACATATATTACTATATATTATTATTATTAACTATCATTTTTATCAATGCGTAGATTAATTATAATTGGAATTCAGAGTACACAGTTGGAAAGAAAAAAGTAATTACTGGAAACATGAGTAAGTTTATATATGCATATAATAATTTTACATATCAATATCAATATAATCTAAAACTTTAACATTTTAAAATCATATAAAGAAAGTGCAAAATCAATTACTTTATATATGCATAAAGATGTATCAGAACAAGAAATTGATATAGCAGGATTACACATAAATTATATGATAAAAGCTAGAAAAAATAAATCTTACTCAAATTGGAAAGTTGGTTGGGGGAAAATTTCAGATTGTAACAATAATAGTAAAAAAAAGCATGATAGTAATTTTAATAAAAATAAGAAGTATGGTGATAATAATCACAATTATAATAATAGTAATAACAATAAATATATGAATGATTATGATGAAAATAAAAAAGGATTTAATAATTATAATAATAATAGTGACAGTGACAAATTTTGTTATCAAAAATTCAAAATCATAACTCCAAAAAACAATAAAAATGGCAATAATAACAACAGTAGCAATAATAACAATAGCAATAATAACAATACTTCTTCAAATAATAATGTCGAAGTTGATTTAATTAAATTGTTTGATGATCTTGAAGTTGAGGATGTTAATAATGGTAATGGTGATATTAATGATAACAATGATAATGATGATAATAAGGAAAAAATTAAGAGTGAAAAAAATGCAAGTTGGTTTTTATTCTTATTCTAATTCATTATATGATTGATTAATTGATTGATTATTGATTGATGAATTGATTGATTAATTGATTGATTAATTGACTGATTGACTAAACAAATCTCTCTTTTATATAATAATATCTAAACGATTAGGAAGAACAATTAATTATAAAGTTACATCATAGCAACACTGATGAAATCAAAAACTATCTCATCACCAATTCCTACAAACTTTCCAATCTAACAAATTTAATAGAAAAATCATACAATTTTGCTACAGGTACAATCAAACAATTAAAGTATAAAGATTACTTTAATAACTTTGTTAAAATAACAAATGATTTAGAATTTCAAATTGCTATTTCAATCTATAAAATTGATAAAAAAAAACCCAGTAGTAGTAGTAATAATGAAAAATTTGAATTATGGTACGATCAACAAGATCAGCAAGAAGAAAATGATCTTATTATTATGTAATTAAATAATTTAAAGGAATGAAAATGTAATGTGAATTTAAAATAGAAAATGAAAATTTAATATTTATTTAAGTTTTAATATATTATTTTTATTTAATAGTAAAATAAACAATTAATACAATACACACTCTCTATAACGGTCCTTCTGTTTTGGCAAAAAAAAGGCCGTTATAGAGAGAGAGACCGTTATAGGGAAATCGCAAAATCATAATCATGTGATCAATTCATAATGTGATACATACAATATTTTTATTTTTAATAAACAAGTTTTTAAACGAAAACATGACAGCGAGCTTCGTGTCTTTTACTCACACAACGACATCACTCAGGTCAAGACAATAATAGTCTATTTTATCAATTCAAAAAAATACAAATAGAACGGCCGTCCCCAGATTTTTTTTTCGTTTTTTTTTGTAGAGAAATTCCTCTCAGGCCATTTCAGCGCACGGAACTCAACTTTCTACGACGTCCCTGTCCATCTTCAAGCAATCAAGTTTACAGATGATGAGCACACTCAAACCATGAAATCATTTATCATTATACAACGTTATACAAGATGGTCGAAAAATAAAAATACCACTGCGCCAAGTGTTTCATAGCATTACAATAACAAAAATGCACAATTCAATTGATTAATCATTTATTACATATAATAGGAGAGACCGTTCTGATAACACAAAATTTTAACCCACGGAATTGTTGATCGACCAATCAAAATCTTGAATTTGATAACGTAAAAATAAACGTTAACATAAAACATTGATCCATTTTGTCAACAATCACTCCACCAACAGTTGTTTCGTTAACAAATGGATCGAATTTAAGAAGTTGGAAGCAACCATTTGAAATAGTCTAATAAATT